TCACTGTTGAGTAAAATTTAATCACACTGTAAGAAAAAAATAGTCAAAATTAAGTTTATATCTCAAGCGCCGCAGGGATTTTCTGAGGTACAAAATCTCTGATCACGAAGGGTGGGTGTGGAAGCTGCTTCTCGGGCGTCGGTAGCATTGGTATTCAGAACGGAAAACAAATCAAGAGAAAAAAATTATTTCATCCAACTAGGTACGATGTGGGAAGCCAAAAGCAAGTAAAGTCCCATGCACTCAATTAATCATGTTTTGTTTTTGACATCATCAACATCCAGAGGGCCAGTCACTTTCGAATATATGGGAATGGTAGGAAACCATTTGGAAATGCATGAACATTTTCAGTTTTTATTCATTAACGTCTTTATGAGCAGTTTAGCAGTTGTCAAAAATGACATCAAGATGCCTAACCGGAGTCAATTTTGTTCTGAATAGTTTTCAATCCGACAAGTAGGCTTACTCAGAGTGGGCTTTTCCGCTTTTCGCGCTGCCGTTCCGCTTCCGCTGTAATTGCGTAATAAATAATAAAGCGGAATGAAACGATGCAAAATGGAAAGCAGAATCAAAACAAAACCGCAAATAAGGCTACCAGAAACTCAAATTTCTAATGGTCATAGGGTTACAAGAAGTTCAAAATATAAATAAACTCCGTTAATATGCACGTAGCGTCATTCAGAGTAGAGGGGGTCCACAGTATTGTAGGATATTAGGACACCGCAAAAATCTCCCTTTTATACCTGCACCATTCTAAACATGCGATTATAACCATTTCCCCAGAATTTGGGAACATTTTACTCATCGTAATAAAACTGGTTTACTCAGATTCTGCCAACTCCTTAGGGAGCATCCATAAATGACGTAGCATATTTTTGATCAATTTTAGACCCCTCCTCCCCCCTCAAATGCTACGTCATTTATGCATGTTCCCTTACTGCACATAAGAATGGGTACCGTCTACCCGGTCTCAGGGTACACAGAAAATGAAAATTACCCAAATCTTGAGTTTAAACAACTCAAATTTAAGTAAAACCGCAGTAAACTCAGCACGGAAAACACGATCGACGGAAAAAAAAATCAAGAAAAAAAATCTCTGTTAAATCTCTATAGTATTTAGTACTTAACGACCACTATACATTTCCAACGATTGCACATAAACACTCTCCATAGTCCAGTCCACAACACTCAACTTTATCGTTTTTGTTTAGAGCTATGATGGTTTTGACGTATGATAGAGAAAGCTAGTAAGTAGAGAAACATGTAAAAAAGGCCTATTTACCAAATATAAACAATGACTTTGAACGATTTCTCGTGAGTATTGCCTCAATCTGGCAAACTGACACCAACATCTGAGAGATAATTTGCTCTATCAGATGATATAGTTAGTTTGAGTGGGCATGTTGCAATTCGGGAACAACCGACTTTTAAATACATTGCATACATTTGGCTTGTATGCCTTTGCACATGTTGCTGCATGGAGAACAAGGTACCCAACACGCTAACTTGAAAGTACCCATTTATAAGTAAAAAAAAGGTCAATTTTGAAGAAAAGTGACTAAACTAGTATTAGTAGTTTTTTACCTATTAATGAGTAACTGTTATCCATTAATGGGTAACAGATACTCATTAATGGGTAAAAAATGCTAATTTAATGGTAAGTCACTAATCTTTAAAATTTATATTTATTACCCAATAATGGGTACTTTAAAGTTAGTTAAAAATTGAGTTCACTTTCACTCATCATGTGGCTTCCATAAGGCTAGGTAAAATTAAATAAATTATGAAAACGTGAAAAACGATGTGAAAATGATAATGACGTTTTGCTAGCTGTCAAATCGTATGGAATATTTTTTAGTACATCATCACTTTTGTGGTTTTGGATTTCAAACCTAGGTGTCGCATGCACTGGTGCAGTTTTGCGTAGATTCATCAAATCCATTGAGTGAAAATTACCTAAACATCAATTGAATGCAATTGGCGTTGACAGCGACTCTGTAGCTCTTTACTCCTTTGTTAAAATCTATAAGTAAACTTCAGACTATGCGTGAAACATGGCGGACTTCGTACTATCAACCGGTGGAAACTAACGAGTTTAAATTGATTCACTACTTGAATAGCCTATTGGTCCCAAGCAAATCGATTAACGTACCCTATTCTAGTCGAAATTCTAGTACTACACTATGTTTGTTTTGATTCTGTAAGGAAGTTTGACAGATAAGATGAGGGGTTCGTGGATTTTCCTATGTTTCGAGGGGTGCATCGATTAGCTTGGGACCGAAGATAGCAGCAGAACTGAGCCAAAAAGACGAGCACATTTTTTCGGGACCTTCTGGTCTAAGAGTTACCTCTATGGTACTATCTTTTCACTTCACCGAAAAATCCCATAAGAAACTGTCAAATTTCGACGGTTCTGTCAACGCCAATAATGGAGCACGAACGAAGGCGATGAAGCACACACAAATGACAGTATCAAAGGAAACGCAGGTTGCTATAATTTTCATCAAAAAATGAGTTAAAATTTCCCAATGGTGAAAACATGACGGTTGAGTACTTTAAACTTAAAATCGAATTCGTTTTTATTTTTTTGTTTTTGAGCTTTTTTTAAAGTCAAGTGTTTTTGAGTGTTTTTTTCTTACCGTGTTTGTTAATCTATTACCCAAAATTGGGTTAACGATTATTAGCATGTTGAAAGTTTTCCTCCTGTCAGTTGCCAATGTGGTATGTAAAGAGGGATGGCAGATATAATCTGCATTTTCGTTTATTTGTTTAGATTACCTCTAAGATTATTGTACATTCAAACTATAGCAGATATCACGTTATTTAGGCACTTTTGATATCATATTATATAACGTTATTACGTTATTAATATCAACTATAGTCTGAACGTAGTACAATGTCATGACGTCAGGGTAGGCGTGTAACATGCATGAGAAAGCTAATAATGTTTGCCACACCTTTTATTTGACTAAACGTATGAATTGATTACACGCTTAAATAATAAGGCCACGAATATTTTTAGTCACCTTTCTCACCGGGAGAGGGTATTACTTATGCGTCTTTTCAGAAATATATGGGAATTCTGAAAGTGAACCATATTGTTAATTTATAATATTTGATGTTAGAAAATGTGAAGATTCCTGTGTTTCATACTTTGTCCGCGTAGCCCCTCCGAATACCCAGTATCATGCCGGCCCTGTGACACAGTTCAGGGGTCTCATGCTACTGAGCTAGTTACCCGGGAGTGTCTGGTCATGCCATAGTCACAAAACACACCTTTCAAAAAAACGTGTAACAACTCTTTTCGCTTTTTAAAAAAGTAGACGACTCTATTTTCAAACTTTTTACAATCGAAATCATCTACAAACCCTAGGAATTCTAAAAGTATCACAATTTTTGAAATTCATTAAGAAATGGGTAAGTTGAGCCATTGCAAACTTGCCGTTACACGTTTTTCGGAGGCTTCGTAGTCGGCGTAAAGTTTTTTTTTACCAACCGTATCCGGAGTATTAATGATTGGCACTCGATTGCAGAACATAAAAGTGAAAAGTCAAGGATCATGAAAATTTCTCTAACATCCGGTTCGTGAAATTGTACTTAGTTTACGATCTGAAACTATGAATTTTCTCACATTTTACATTTCTCAATTTAATTTTTCTTATAATGAATAAATGCATTAATTCTTCTCAAATATTCGGCCAAATGACATTCTGTCAAACGACATTCGGCTGAATTGCCGGACACCAATCGGATCGATTGAATACATTTAATTTAATTTGATTAATTTTTGTACAGAACCGTTGGAATAAATCATGAATTGTGTAACTTATTAACTCCATTCAATCTTCAGCTACTAAATACAAAAACCAAATGTCAACAATTGCCATCCATCCAATAATGAATACATAATCCGTCACGGTACGCCGCGGACATTTGGTGTTAAATAGATTCTAACAGATAGACAACTGCAAACATTTGTCAAATCTCCTGCTTCCCGCTGTTCACCCTCTTGCTTTCCGAATTTCTATCGTTCCCATGTTTATTATACCTAGCAAAAACTGCAGCGGTTCCCTTTCCGTTACTTTACTCTTCCTTCGCCGATTGCTGCCACTTGGTGTATAAATATACATTTTTTACAGCAGCGTGACAAATGTGAGCAAACATTCCTCTCGTCGTCGATCGTACCACTCGGACTCGGGCGCATTCATAAATTCAAATGAGCGCCCGTTTTCCCTGCATTCCCATTCGTCTCTATGAATTCATAAGTGGCATGACGGAAAAAGGGACTGACTGCCGTCACAATCTTGAATATACACGAGAAAAGTGAGCTTTAATTAACAAGAATTTGTTTACCCGCACTCCCAAAATGGGAAGCAAGAAGGAGCGGCGATCACTCGTTCACATCTGTCAAAACTGGGCGTTAATCCGTTGATTTAGAGCTAAATCGCACTAATTATCAGCCGCTTGAACCGAGCGACGACGACGCCTACTATGCGACAATCAGCCAGCAGCGCTCAAAAGTGGGTCTCCATCCAGACAAGCACGCGCGCTTGATGCCCGACTTGCCCCCTACCTCAACTTTGGTGACATTTCTCGAAATTGTTTACAACTGTTTGTGGCCCATTCTTCATCTGACTCACACTCACGGCCTACTATCGCGTCAAGATTTTCCAAAGCAAACACGATTGAGATACAATTTATCCGATCCCACTTGAACCCCGCTTGCACCCGCCCTCCCGCGATCTATTGGGTGTCACGTCACGCCCTGCCAGCTCTCCCAGCAGAACGAAAGAGGGCTTGATCGTGTTATAATTTATAGACCTATTTTAGTACACGAGAGCAAGCACCATTGATACTTTTTCCCTGACCGCCACACCACGACGAGGATATAAACAAATGTTTATGAATGAATGAAACCATTAATAAGTTTAAGCGAACGCGCAGTTTTACACCATACTAAATGGATTTTCGCTCAGCGCAACGCTCAACGTTCGGTTCGGTCTTGGTGGCAGGCGTGGCTTGCTGTTCCTGCAAGTGACAGTGCTTGTTTGGCTGTCACAACGCAGCTTTGTCAACTGGGTACCGCGCATTCCAGCCGGTAGTAGATCTTAGCGTATATGTAAATGCGCCTGAGTGGAACAGTAAAGTAACGAATTACACCCATTTGCGGCCGTTAACGGTGGTCAATTTTCATCTGGATGTGGCGCCGGCCGGCCGTTAGGCGTCTGAAGTCTGACGAATGCGACTGAGAGATGGTCCCTTGACCGTAGCTTGATTACAACATTTTATTCTGTATGATACAAATTGTACAGGCTCAATCGAATTAACTTTACAGAGCCAAATCATCATTAGCGCATGATTAACGTCTTAAATCCAGCACAAATTCTTCTTGATTGCTCAAGTTACGTTCTAACGGGGGCATCCTGTCCCGGTTGAATTCCCCCAACGGTGCCGGTACCCGTCTTCGGTAGGAAGCCATTCTCGTCAGCCCGGTAGTTGACCCAGTAGGTCTGCCCATCGGGTGCCACGAAGGTGTAGGCTCCTTCCACCGCTAGAATATTCGTTCCATTGTTGGTATCCTTCGGAGTTCCAACCTCGGAGAAGATTTGCTTATTGCTCTGCTCGTATCTAAGAAGAAAAACCAAACGATCAAAGTTGGCCACGACTCCGCGCTGTACTCTCAAATGACTTACGTAAACTGATAGCCTGCTTCGTTGTTGTTTGTTGAGTTGTACCTTAGCAACTCGATTCCACTGGTATCCTGTGGTTGGTTTTGCAGCTGAGGCGCTCCCAGAACTGCACACGCCACCAAAACCGAGTAACACACTGCAATTCTAATCATGTTTCCCTAGTAATCGTCGTGTTTTGACACTTAGAGTGTGAATGTGACTTCTGAGCTTGGGACGGGTCACATTTATACCGAATCGGGTCCCATCTTGGTGACCTTTGTGCTTCAATGATTATTCAATTAACGACTTCGGGTGCCTGTTATATCTGGAGGGAGTATTGACAATCCACTGGCTGACACGAGCTTGTTATGCTACTTGTCTTGACATATGTCATCGTACGTTGCAATTTGACGCCATTAGTACGCTAATCGCTAGGGAAATATTTGAGTTTGACCACTTCACCTCCGAGCTTGTCCGAGCTGCTCAAGAAGCGACAAGCTTGGTCAAGGACATAAATATTTTATCAGGTGTTTGTCATTAGATCATTTCTACTGTTGACACGGACCGTGGCATTCAACGGATACTTTTAGAAGTCATTTTACCCCTTTTAATTCAAAAAAACATAAAAGCATATAATTTCCCATTTCAATTGAGTTGCCTCTTTACACCTGTTTATCAATTCCCACCGCGCCGAGTTGTAGGACGGGCCCAACCCTTCGCGCAGTGGAATCAACAAGGAAGCACATGCTCATACCCCAGACTTTCGTTCCACGCTGATAGTTTGCGACTTTTTTTTGTTTCCATCGTCATCTTGATGGACACCGGCCGGTCGGGCGGTGCCTTAATTTATAAAATTCAAAAATTTGCATTTACACTTGCCCGTAAGTTTGGTATAGTGGAGAGTGACGTCAACCGTGGAACCTGAACATGTGTTCCAGTCAGCTGAAGCGGCAACGTCGTTGGTGTGGGAATCAAATTTCTCAGGAAACTCACCTTTCCTCATTTTCGCAGTGACGGCAAAGTTATTCACACAATTAGGATGAGCAGAGCACTTGTCTCGTGGGAAAATTTCGACGTATATTAAAAAAAAAACATAGCGCGTAAGAAAGGGAAGGACGATTAGTTTTTATTATGACCTGCTTGTTCGTGCTCTTCTCAAGGTAGCTCCTCGTAACCGAAAGGCCATATGTTGAGGGAAGATGAACGGAACTAACCTCGCTATAGGTCCTCATTTTTGCTAACGGTTTCCTACTGCTGCTGTTGCTGCTCGTACACGGAATAGTGACCGATGAAGATGATATCCTTGGTTGAACGCTTCCGGATCAGGTACAGGAAGGGACGGTCGACGTAGAACATCGGGTACCCGGCGCGGCCTACGGCTTGCACTTCTGCAAGAAGATGGAAAACAAGTTAAAACGAGAACTTTTCCCAGCAATGTTTTAACGCTACAAAAACAATTCAACGTAACGGGCTCGTAATCGTACTTAATTAGATGGCGCTAGTTTGAAGGCCTACTAGATACCTATACCTATGTAATCGATTGTTGACGGTCTCATCTTGTGCAGATCTCAATAAGCGGTACATTTTTCCCGATTCTCCTCAAAATACATGACGGTAGCTGGTAAGGGGTCATGTCACGCTCTAAGGCGGGAGGGGTGGTGTAAGATTTTCTGACAAGCATTGCATTAGGAATAGGAAAAACGTGACTCAAGAAGGGAGGAGGTAAATTTTTCATCAATTTAACGTGACATAATTAATGCATTATCCCTTAAACTTTAGAAAAACTCATTTGACACCCGGTAAATGAACTCAAATAGCACCTATAAATTGTAAAAATATCATGGGAATCAAAAGTCATCCAGTTCATACTAAGCAAACCTAAAAAAAATGGTAATTTTTTTCCAATTCTCCCGTAATACATTATAAAAGAAATGATCTCCATCACATCACTAAACATAACCACGAGCAATGACAAGGAACTGCATCCCAAAACCCATGATTAACAAGGAGCGGATGCATCCAATGAAACTTTTAAGCGCAAAAGAATCATTACCAATATAGAAAAAAATCAGTAAGATGCTTCCATTGCATTATTATATGATTCTTCAATATTGTGCAAATATTTACACATTACACACAACTACACATAGTAACTCGGAGCGTTTGGTACGGTATGTCCACGCATACTTTCACCCCTGTAGACTCAAGAAACGTTCCCATTCATTTCCAAGAATCATCTTTGAGGCAAATACAACGCAGTAGGCCTGCCGTACTGATGTTTATATCATATCTCAGATATGCTGTAAACATCAATTAGACAAGAAAAATGATTAGACCTAATCTAACCTAATCATTTTCCAGGATGCTTTCTCGTACTGGCTGCGTTTGTTTTAGATTAGATTAGATTAGATTAGATTAGATTCTCCCGTAATACATTATCGAAGCTATCAAAGCGTTTGAAAACTTATTTGGAGCCTGGGAAATTTACTCAAATAGTACCCATCTATTGTCAAAATAACAGGGGAATCGAATGCTATTCATTTCACACTGTTCAAAAATGTTTACTAATAGTTGCTGTTCTACGATGTTGGTCACTTTTGAAGTGTCAACTGTGTGCATTTCAGAAAAGTTAGCATTTTTGATAAGCTTTCCAATAAACATAAGATTAAAAATCATAAAAATATATCCAGCTTTTAACGCTCGAATGCCATATAATTTGAATCACCCTTTTTCTAACATATGACGATTACCATTATGGCAAAGACCAAGATGGTCATGATTGAAGAAATTTTTTACACTTTGACAGCGCAAGCAAAACAAATCTGATTTAAATTTTGTTTGAGCTTCGTATTGTGCGTCCGCAGCTGCTCGTGAGTCGCTATTTGTGCTTCCCAAATCTTTCTCAACTTCCGAGCGTTGAAATCTTCGAACCAATTCTCCAAATCGTCCTTCTGCCACTTGGGATTTTCATTTTGGTATTCTTCCATTTGCAGTTCGAGCATCTTCTACTAGATCACTAAGGCCGTTCGCAATGCTGAGTTTCAAAATTGTTTTAAACAACTCGTCAATTCTATAATTTGAAACTGTCAAAAATAAAACTGCAACACGATCAGCGCAACGCACAGTTCTAAAAGATGTTTGTAATCATCAAGTTCCATATACTTTACTGTTCTCTATGAAGTTCTCCGTTTTTTGTTTGTGAAGCTCTTCGAAACATCTTTAACGCATCCAAAGAAATTTGAAACAGAGTTCCATTCGTGTTTCAAAGTCGCTCAGAAATAAAACAGAATAGTCGAGCAGTTGCAAATCTGGTGCAAAATAGTGCTCGAATAATGAAACTGCAACTCAGCATTGCGAGAGGTGCGTTTCTGTTCTAGTTTCAAATTGAAACAGTCCTTATAAAATACAACAGCATTGCGAACGGCCTAACAGATTTGGACAGACCTGGGCACACTCATTGGCATGAGGATCGAAGTATGCTTTGGCCACAAGTGGACGTGTTTATTTTTCGCTGTCAATTTTTTTGTTCGTTTCGCCGAAATTTTGAAAATATTCTCAATAGTGTTGAACAACTTAACCTGAACAATGTGAAAATATGAAAGGATAGTTACCGAGCGCCGTGAAAATCCTTATCATGACCGAATCGTGTACTGCACCAATGTGTCATGCATATGCAACGATTTATCACGGAGTTTAATGTGTGCCGAAGCCCGAATCGACCCAACAAACAATTTGAGTTGATCAACAGCTGAATAAGCTATTTTAAAGCTAAAGAAGCTTATTTTTGCCTGCATAAGCTCTTATTCAACATTGAATGTTATGTCGTTTTCGTTTTTGCGGTGTAGCACTGGTGTAAACAAAGGTGCATTCTATATCTACACCCTAAAATATTTCGGTGTACGGCAGTGTAGCACCGGTGTAGCTACACCGCAAAAACCAAAACGACATTAATTAGGGAAGCTTTGATATTTTTGGACTGTAACATTTTGTAGTGATTGCCAGTCTGCAGCCACCCGCTTAAGATGGAAAACACAAAAAAATGTGAATTTTCAGCAGCAAGCGGCCGCTGGCGGAAAATCAACTGAGCTAGGAGTTTCACGGATTGAAACATGAATATTTCAAGTTTTCTGGTGTCAAATTCATAATGATTATTTGGTGAATCACGAAATGATACGCAAAGCGTAGAGAAAATCAAAACTACGGAGCCCATGGATTGGAGGATCAAATAAACATAGTGAGACCTGTCCATATACTGTTCAAAATTAAAAAAAATAATAAACTAAATACGTGCCAGGTTTGAAAAGAATATCTTCGAACCTGAAAGTGTGTATGCATCACTAGAGAGGGTCTAGTATAAGAGAGGAGCGGATTCAAAACAAACTGCCTTGGCAACCTATGCCTAGGCTATTTCTAGCAACACTGCCAATGCAATCAAGATAGGCACTGCTCTTTTGGCTCTAGCTTTGACAGTTCATTTTGATCAAAACCAGCCAATCCACTCCTCTCTTATACTGGACACTCACTATAGCCTCTTTTTATGCACCATCAATGTAGAGTGCGCTAGCCGATTTTGAGAGGAAATGTCATCCAATCCATTTGTTTACATCATAATGATGATTTTCAAAACTCAAAATAATGTACATTTTATTGCACAACTTGCAAATTTTCATCGGAAGTGGTCTTATTTTTCGATTATCTACAGATCTGAACTGATTTACAGTTATTTCAGCTTCAGCAGCACACATTAAAAATCCGGAAGATCATAGCCGCTGGGACAATTTAATAAATTTTTCTAATCAAAAATATACGGAAGCACCAGCCGGATCACTGCCAACCCGATACAGAAAACAAAACATTCCACGTGGATGATGGTTTCAAGCACCTGCGGTGAATAAATTAATCAGGAAAGGCGAAAATATTTTCCTCTTCCTATGCTTTACGGTGAAAATTTCCACCCTCATCACTCTTTTGTGGGTTCCCCTATTCACCGCCAGAGGCTGAAACAATCGCTTAGTTTCTATTGGATTCGCCTATATATAACCAATATCCGGTGATGCATGCGGGGCTTATTGTGAGTTAAGGTAACCTCCGAATGGGCGTGACTCTCCAGACATTCTGAAATGGGTTGCTGGATCTGCAATAGAGCTATTACTTTCTAAATGTCAGACTAAAGCTGTCTACAATGACCATAAATGCGACATTGTAGAGAGAGTTCTTCCATAATAACACTGCCGGCCAGTGGGGGTTAGAGGGAATACACACACACACTTCTTGGAGCAAGACATCACTCATACAACGTTGCTAGTGTAGCAGTGTAAAATCGATTTGTTTATTATTTTCAACCACGAAATCCACTGTCAAAGTGTTCGACTTGACAGCATTTCTCGATTACTTTTTGGAAGAGACGTATCAGTTTTTGTAAACAATACTTTTGATCGTCAATTTGACGTAACAGGTAGCTCGTCCACGCACACTAACACAACTACCAGGTAGGGGAAATTTTCCCCTATCTGATGGTAGTGTTAAAATGCGTGAGCGAGCTGCCAGTTACGTCAAATTGATGATCAAATGCATTGTTTACAAAAGCTGATACGTTCCTTCGACAAAGTAATCGAGATCTTGTTTTTTTTTCAACCAGTAAAACGCATGTATTATGCTCCCTTATACTAACAATGGTAGAGAAGTCAATTGACACTGTTTGGCACCCATGGTTGGAATTTTTTTTTTATGAAATGACAAAGTTTCCGGCAACACTGCATTATCTCTGCTCCTGTTTAGTTCAATCATTGTTGTTGACACAATCCAATTTTCGGAAACCGCAACAACCGTGAAGTTTCGCCTAGTCCCGCCATGGTTTCCTTAAAAGACAATAAGCTCAGCGCACATCCTAATGTCTGTCCGAAGAAGCACATTATTCCCCATTAGACTCTGTGTTTCCCAGGGACTCGCTTCTGTGATGGAAATGATCTTCATCGCATGCATAACAGCACCCCACACAATCAATCCTACATTCCACACAACACCGATCTTGATATTAAGAAATCTAATCCTCGCTAAAAATCTCATTCCTTCCGGATGCATGATACCCTCCTGCTCCGTAATCGAAATCGTAACCCAGAGCTAAAACCCAACCACATTTCCTATCGGTTGAACTCAATCTGTTCTTTATGTGTAGAGAGCAGTTGACTGTGGACTGATGTCCGGAAGGTCAATGGTCAAACTAAAATATTTTAGCTGCCAGACTGCCAGACTGGAGCTGCTCGTCGTGATACCAAAGAGGTAACTCTAAAACCAGAAGTTCACGACGAAACGTGCTCAATTTTTTTGCTCAGCTCTTGTACTCCCTTCGGCCCCAAGCTAATCGATGCACCCCTGGAAACCTAGGAAT